CTGGGTTGAAGGTTACCTTTAAATAAAATACTAAATATCTGTTTGAATCCTCCTTGTATTTATGAAATAAAAAGCTGATCTTAAATTATCCACCTGCAGCAAAGTAAAAATGGCGTCTGGTTGTCCTGCTGCCTGCAGCTGGGCTGCTGACCAGACTGCTGACCGCCTGTGAGCTCTTTGGGACGGAGGAGCTCAGGGCTGCACCGCTGCTCGCTGAGGACAGGAACTGGAGAACGATACGTGTTTTCATGTCAGAGCCTCCAAAACACCAGAAAAGTCTCCAGTAACACCAGAAAGAGTCGCTAGATTTGTCGCTGGTCGCTTTAGCCAAAAATAAATAAATAAATAAATCGCCAAGAGGATTTGGAAGGTTGCCAGTTTTAGCAAGAACGTCATCAAGGCGGCACCACTGCACACGCCGGTGGGTGTCGCACATCGGCGGTTATGACGCATATTTTGAGCAAGTTCACAAAAATCTTCAAATTTAGAATTACATTTTAAAAACTAACGAGCTAAAATAAAATACATTTAAATTAAAATACTCACTATTTATTTTCCAAAGCCACAAGGAGCCGCAGCAGAGGTACGAAAGAGCCACATGTGTCTCTGGAGCCACGGGTTGCCGACCCCTGATCTATGCGAGTCTAATGTGAAGGCATGGTAAACAAAGCAAATCCAACAAAACCTTTTGTTGAGCTTCATGAGAAGCAGGTTTTCCAAGTTGTCAGAAAGTAGCTTTGCCCTCTTGGGTCTAAAAATCATTCCTGCTGTGCTGAAAGCCTCTCACAGGCAGCTGAGGCAGGTAGTGGTGTGTTGAGCTGAAGAGACAGGCGGCACACATATGGAAATGTTCTCAGGATGTCCATGGTATCAGCTGGACTGGCCAGGTAGGACTCTAGTTGCTTGGTGTTACTGTCCCGTTGATCTGTCTGCTTGATGGTCAAAAGAAGTCCTCCTCCTCCTCTGCCGCCTGACTGGGCTGCACTACTCTGCTCCTTCAGGTGGGTTCTGACGTAGTCAAGGCCTATGGGGGATACAAAACCAAATGAAGAAACAGAATTAGCATACAAGAGATGGGGATGGACAGAGAAAGGAGGGACTGAGAGCAAGAGAGGGCGAGGAAACGAGGGAGTGTGGATGGAGGTGTGGAGGAGGAGGTAAGGAAGGGTTGTGGGGTTATAAGTGGTATTTAACCCTTTAAGCCCTGAGCCATTTTTCAGGCCTTTTCTCGAAAATTACATACCCATAATAAAAACAGTTTATCTCTGCAACCACAAGGTCTATTTGAATAATTCTTGTGTCATAATAAAAAGAACACTTGTAAGATTTGTTCAGATGTGTAAATTTCAGTA